ATGCCACTACAATCTTGGGCCTCTAATAATGCAACATTGAATAATCAAATAGCAAGAGATTACCCTGAATATCACATACCAGAATCACAAAAGGTGTTAGGTATGGAATGGGATCTAATCTCAGACACAATATCAATCAAATCAGTACCAGTAAACTATTGCATTGCTACAAAAAGGGATTTGCTTTCACAAGTTAGCAAAGTATTCGACCCACTTGGTCTACTAAATCCTTTAACTATTAATGGCATTTATTGGTGCAAGAAGCTTGGAAGACAAAAGTTGGTTGGGATGATCCACTACCACTCCAGTTACAAAAAGCTTGGATGGGAATGGCTCAAGAACAAACTTTAGTCGAAAAGATAGTCTTTCCGAGACACATAGTCGAGGAAAATGATTAGTATTGGACTCTGTGCCAGTTCTATCTCTCTGGAAGATGTGGCAAATTTTTACCCACTATATATTATCTAAAATGTATTATTTCTATATCATATCGGAATCACTATAGATTCAGTATATCTGGATCATACAAGACTGCCACCTATGATCACATATACCATAGGGCCCTATAGGTGCCTACGTGACTTGGTGCATGATTTCTCAAGGATCCAGAAGCTTCTAGAAGGATTTCTTAATTAAAAACTATTGGAACAATTGAATCGATTTCTGGTAGAGATCAAATCCTTAATAAGAATCAATAGTACTATCAAGTACTACTTATTATCTTTACATCCTAAATCTAATTATATTATAATCACATCTTATCTCAATAATATGACTAGACAGTAAAAATAATCAATCAATATTCATTGAAAGCTACTCTCTAGGAAGTGGGAGGAGCCAAACTCGGGAGTAAGCGACCTACGGGGCGCCCGAGGGCAGAACGCGTGTGTTTACAAACGGTGAACAAGTGTGACGGTGCCTTGCGAACAATTATTCAGCTTAGGACACTTTATCCAGTTATCTTTATCACCAGTGATTACTCTCTAGAACTGGGGGAGTACCTGGACAATATATCTACAAGGAAAAATTCCTAGAACATATCTAAGTGTACAGTGGAGCACACAAAGTAACACTATCCCCCCCTTCCACCATCATCACTTATCTAACCTATTGCAACTGTAATTAAGGACATAATCAATTAGCAACACTACTAGAACATCATACAGCAAAGTTGTGATATAAAATATCGTACCTAAACTCGACAAGAGTTATCCAGTCTGGCACACTTGTCAGACAGGCACCCGGCATTCAGAGAAGTATATTGAATGTTATTTAGTGTATTAATTGGCCAATTGTATGCTTGTATAACTTTAATATATCCAATAAATCTGTCTGTCGGTTATAGAGTGAGGCAACGCCTCATATTTCAGTAAATTTATTAATATTGTAGTGCATCAGCTGAATCCTTTCCAAGCATAAAGACACTCACGAGGTAATCAAAATATCAAGAGTGTCTCTTGTGTGGGAAAAGCCTCAATCGTGTTGACTGAACCTCTTCATATTAATTAAATATTTCTCTATAAATATATATCCTTGAACATATAAATTAAGCTAACAATTGCTTAGTGATCTTTAATTTATCATGAGTTCATCCAATTGAATATAATCTTTAGTACTTAGTTAACAGTACTTAGACCACATTTAAGGTCATTTAATATCATACTACTACAATTTAAATTGTTGTGTTTATAGTAAATGAATATTGGCTGTTGATAGTTATGGTGCTAGGCTGGACTATGTACATGTTTAAATCCCTGATTTAAACTGAACCAGTGTTCAGTCATAGAACTGAATTTATTAAAATCTCATCCTTGTATAAACAATACAAGCTAATGTGAGATAATTGCCTGCAGGTGGATTATGGAGCTTCAATCAACATCTAGATTCACCCCCCACCTGCCTCTTACAGCCCACAATCTGTCATTAGGAAACGAGGAGCTAGGATTTACGACCCTAGCTAGAGACTTTAGTTGAATTAATTTTGCATACAGTAATTTTTAATTTAATACAGCACAAGTCCCTGGTAGTACTCCTCTCATATCAATCCTGGCAGGTTATTCCCACAGCTCCTCCTCTGGTTGGGGATTCAGGATTGGCAGAGCAAGCTTCTTCTCCATATCTCTGTTGAAGTGTCTCCATCATGGAGTGGGTTAGCTTGGTCATGTTCAAAACAACTTCGTCCCTCAAGTGGGTTTCTCGCTCGTTTCTAGCTCTTATACAGGACTGTGTGGATCTTCGGTTCATTCTGTACTTGTCCCATTTGAATCATTGGATTCTTTGCCCCTCCTATCGGATGACTATGTTGTCCTAGGTTCTGCTTCTTCTCGAGCTGGGGGATTGTATGATTTCTCTGATCCTCATGGATGCATATAGGCACGTTCTTATCCATCCGGGGTTCGGGGATTGGTTAGGTTTCATGATCGGGCGTCAAGCTTACCGCTTTTGTTGCCTTCCATTTGGCTTGAATCTGGCACCTCGCGTGTTTACGAGTTTAACCAGGGTCATGTTGGCCTATCTTCGTCTGCTCGGTGTTTGGGTTCTGGCCTACCTCGATGACTGGTTGGTATGGGCTCCCAGCCGGTCTGCAAGTCTGCTCGCCAGGGATGTGGTTCTTTCCAGTTTGCCGGGTTTGGGTTCCTGGTGTTCAGCCCCCGGGGTCCTTACGTCGGTTGCTGCATCTCCGACATCTTCGGGTTTTTAGGGGTCAGGTGCCATGGCGCGTTCCCTTGCCCTTGCTCTGTGTTCATCTCTCAGCTTGGGTTTTGTGACCAGCGCTCACCAGGCCAGCCCAGAGAATTGGACTCCAGCCTTCCGTTGGGCTCACAGCACAGTGTGGGAGTTTGTGGCAGGTGCTGTGGCGGATTCGATTGCCTCGGGGATCAGTGATTTGGTTCTATTCGGACTACTCTCCTGTGGTTCAGAGGGTGTCCAATGTCCTGGCAGATTGCCTGTCTCACTTCATTCCTCTTTCCACAGAGTGGACGGTTGATGCTGCCTCCTTCCTTTGGCTTTGTCATATGTTTGTGTGCTGGAGGTGGACCTCTTCGTGTCGGCTTGGTCCCGGCGCTTGTCTGTATACGTGACATTCTTCCCTGACTGTGAGGTGTTCGCAGTGGATGCTTTTCGGCAGGACTGGTCGAGGTGGCAGTTCCTGTTCCTTCATCCCCCCGTCCAGCTGTTGTTTTGGGATCTGGCATGGCTCGAATCCTTTCAGGGAATAATGGTTCTCCTGGCCCCATGGTGGTCGGCCCAGCTTTGGTTTCAGATACTGCTTGCACGGTGTCTGAATTCGAGTGTCTTTTCCCTGGCTCTGCCTCTTTCAGCAGGTCGTGCCATTGAAGTACCTTGCTGGTTTGGCTTACTCTTCTACGCCTGGTTTTTCTGACGTGAATGTATCGCCATTTGTATGGTGATCAGGTGGCTTCATTGATAGTGTCCCACCTGCGGTCGTCTTTTCAGCAACAGTATAAGTCTCTTGGAGATCTTTCTGCCATTTTCTGTCCCTTAATAGGGTTTCGTCGGTGTCGGTTCCGGTTGTTTTGTCTCTTTCATGGCTTTTTGTTGACTGACATCTCATGCCGAATACCGTCGCTTCATATCATGCGGTGTTGGTGGAGCTGCTCGAGCTTGCTTTTGGTGTCAATTCCGCTCCATTCTGCAAGCTTTCTCGTATGTTTTTTATCTCCAACCTGCTCACGTGCAGCCTGAGCCTTCTTGGTCGTTGGACCAGGTGCTCTCGTTTCTCTCTTCTCCTCGATTTGTAGTGGGCCCCTTCGGTCTGAAATTGTTTTCTAAAGGACTTGTTCTTGTTGGCTTTCGCCTCTGGTGGTCGGGTTGGGGAGCATCATGCTCTTCTCCAGTGCAGGGGTTTCTGCTTCTTTAGACCTGGGGGTTGCTTTGTTTGTTTGCAGCCTTCTTCTTATCTGGCTAAGAAAAGCCAGATGGTTGGTTTCCAGATAGGTCTGTGGGATGTTGGTTCAGACAGGGGTGCATTATGTTTTGTCTAGTTGTGGCTTTACATCGCTACCTGCTTGCTACTGGTTTAGCGATGGTGGAGGTGCTATGGGTAGACCCGGTTTCCCTGGTTCCCTGTCCCAGGGCTTGCGTCTCTCAGGTTGCCCACAAGGTTATTAAGTCTAGCCAGCCTGCAGTCTACCGTTGTGCCCATGATGTGAGTAAGTATACAGGTCTTGCTGCTATCTTTGGTTATGTCTTGGGTCGACATTTGTGCACGAGGGTTATGGATATCGAGCACAGTCCTGGCTGCCAGATATCTTTTCAACGTTCCGGGTCCTCTGCGGCCTTATGTTGCCTTGGGACGTGTGTCGCGGCCTGTTGTCTCATATTTGTCGTGAGACCTGTAGTGCTGCCGCCTCCTGGGTGAGTCCCAGTTTTTACTTATCTGTGGGTAGTTAGCTTCAGGGAGCCGATGGGGCTCCCCACAGAAAATCAGTGTTGAATATAATAAAACGCCAATTTCTGGGCAAGCCCTGGAGGCTCCCTGCCACCCTCCCTCCGGTCGGCGGGTTTTCATCGCGCTAATGAGTGGGCTCGCTAGTGGGATGGTGATTTACTTGTTAAATTGTTTTCTTTTTGGGGGAGTTCTTTGGCTCTGTTTGAATGTAGGTCGCAATTTTAACCAGTTCGAGGTTTGTATTGTTTCGCCTAACTTTCTGGTGGTATCCCCCGGTCGATGGCAGACATGACAAACTCTAAATGTAGAGTGCTCATACTGGCCATTGCTCCTTGTGCCCCTCTGAGGGGACCAGGTTTTGGCGTTGGTCTCTGGTAGGCACTCGAACTCCTGGGACTGATGGCATCAAACTAATATGGCACATGTCAGTTTGATAACTTCAGGGAGCCTCGGGGGCTTGCCCAGAAAAGGGTGTTTCATTACATTCAACGCAGGTTTTATATATGAATAAACGTGTCACTTAGCTGACAAAGTTCACATCATAGGCAGCATACAAATATTAAGATGCATTTTCTTGATCTGACAGGCATCAAATTCGCTGCCCAACACCTCGTACTTCAAGATGGTGGACATTTGGCTGCTATTCTGCGTGGGCATCACCTTCCTGGTCATCATATTTCATATCTTGATCGATAATCGACTCTTTAAGGACCAGAAAATGACCCAAGTGAAACATTTTGGCATGCCAGCGTCGCACAAGAAGCAGGAGTTGATAGGACTCCGTGACCGCTGCCGCTGGGCGCCGGACTACACTGTGGAGCAGCTGGAGATGGTGGCCAAGGTCTTTGTTTTTCTCCTCATGGTTTGCTTCATGGTTGGTTACCTGCTATATATAGCAACCTGAGGATCCCTGCAGATAAAGTGATTGATTACTTGCTTTATATAGCAGTCTGGGGATCCCTCGACCCCGACCCTTGGATTGGCACTTTGCTGTATTTAGCAACCTGAGGATTCTTTAAGGCTTGTTATTTTAGTGGTCTCTTAATTATCTAAAACATGTTGGCCACCTCATTATTTAATTGCGGTGAATCTTCCCCCAAAGTCCATGGCATTTTGGTGCTTTTTGAGAGAATTTGACACAGATCTATACTCAGTAAACTTCCTTTCTTCAGCCTTGAACAGTTTCTCGGTGTATTGCCTGCTGGTTGCTCATTGGCAGCTCCATCGCTGTTGTAGCTAGTCAAGTTTCCCAATAAATGCCATTTTTCCAGAAGGATCTGTTTTGTCACCTTCACTTTCCTAAATATCCATCAATTATCAACACAGCATATCTAATGCCTGCCTTTACTTTGCACTCCTCATGCTTCTCATCAAGATCTTTCCTCTCATCACTCTAGAGTTTGCAGTCTAGAACACTCGTCTTTAATTTAGCCTTTCGGTATTTAGTCATATCATTCAAGCTCTGACAAGTTTCCAGGTCAATTTGGAAAACTTCTCTGGAGCCTTTGGTATCCACTTGCCTTCTTCTTACCCCCATAATCGGCGGTGGGAAACAGCTCTGGCGAGGTTACATATTAGCCAGGCCCGTTTAACTCATGGGCACTTAACTAGCGCTGCCCCGCTTCTTATTGTACAAACTGCATTGTCCCATTTATGGTCGTGTATATCCTTGTTGAATGTCCTGACTTCGAGGACGTGCGTTCGCCTTGTTTCCCGACTGTCCCTTGCGGTCGCCTGTCCCTCGATAGAATCCTTGGTGAATCATATACCTTTGATGTTGTTTGCGTTATGTGTTTTTGTTCTCGTATTGGCATCCTTAGTGATATTTAGCGACTTTAGAATATCCCGCACATTTGACGGTGCCTTCTTTTGATAATTCCTTTCTTGCTCTCTACTTACATCCTAGACATGAAAGCGTCTTGTCCTGCAGACCTCACATCTCGGCAGTTGTTAGGAACGCATCCAAAATGTTGGGTATTCTTTAATAGTTCAAAATATCTCACTTATCTGTAAGTTCAGTTATACACAAGTCTTATTCATCTTCCTTGTCAAAGATGTTTCTTTAATATATGAGGAAGTTGCACTTCAAGCCAAATTCTAGATTTCATTGAGGAAAGCTTCTTGTCTGATCTTAATCTCATATTATCTCATTCTTAAGCTTGTTATTGGTTTCCCATCGCAAAATTGCTTATCCTATTCTTTTTCAATCTCTTCTCTTAAGAGTTGCATATCTCCTCTTTTTCAAGTCCATAACCTGATCTCTCTGTTTTCTTCCACTCTGCAGCCATCTTGTGGACTGGACTTCCAATGATATCTTATATCTATCTTACATAGTGTGATAAATTTACATGTACACGAGCCCTTGCACATTATTCTGACTCACTTAATATACACAATTGTACAGAAGCCTTCAAGTATCAATAAACAACAGATATACGAACAGAGAAGTCAACACTCGTACCAGAAGACATTTAGAGAAATAGTACCACAGAGCACAACAAACTGCAACAGCAAGCAACTCCTCCCATAAAACTCTATTGCAAATCTACTGCCAGTTCACAGTATAGAACAGAGAAATGCCCGACAGACCACTGGAACATTATCTAACACAGTGCACAGTTACAAACCCATTAAGATTTCAACTTAGATTCAACAGAGCAGAAGTTGTTAAACACATATGGCAAAATCTTACTGAAGCGACCATACGAGTCATAAATACTCATACTCCACCCAAGTAAAACAGAAACTAGCAACACTTAGCGGGCCAGCCAGAGGCTTAGGGCCCGCCCAGTGGGCCAGCCAGAGGCTTAGGGCCCGCCCAGTGGGCCAGCCAGAGGCTTAGGGCCCGCGCAGTGGGCCAGCCAGAGGCTTAGGACCCGCCCAGTGGGCCAGCCAGAGGCTTAGGGCCCGCCCAGTGGGCCAGCCAGAGGCTTAGGGCCCGTGCAGGATTATCCCTGCAAAAAAAAAGTATAGAACAAAGGAGAGAATTATGCAAAATATAATTTCAAATGGATTGAAACAGACAGCCCCAGATCAAAATTGGTCTTCATTATTTACTCCAAAACAAAAGGGACTGCTGATTTTAATACACAAGAACAGCCCCATTAAACAATACAACCTTCTCCAAAAAGCATACGTGGCATACCAGTTTACGTGTCTCAATGAAGGATGCTACTTTCAACCTAATAGTATTGGCATGGCTTTGCTTTCGAGATGACTAACTTTCTATCTACAAGCTGGTGCCCACAGAAACCATGGGCAAAGTGAGCATAAAACAACACTTATTAGGAACATCCTAGTACATAATACAAATATCCTGGAACCTACCACTGACCAAAGAAGATTCCAAAATCCGGAAGCAATACTTATAAGAGAAAAATGACCCACCTTGAACATACAGAATGACTTCACTTCCTTGCCAACATTCAGACCTAGAGCTCACCAAACATCACCAGATAATGACGTCTCTACTGAGGTCTCTCTGCCCAACAAGAGCACCAGAGTTGTACTCAGTATCTTATCCAATGTTTGATTGGCTTTATCCCCATACCATAAGTATAATTGGCCCTGTCTCCCTTATGTTTACCCCCATCACCTCACCCCATACTTTTTCGACTCTTTCACATATGTATATTTAGCCAAATTTGTACTTCATGTACTCATTCTTTACCTGAAGATATTCCAGAGAGAAAAAACATAGAAAATAAATCCTTCAGTAATTAATAAGAGTTTCTTTACCATACATTTTGGTAACGATTGTTCTTCTTAATACTGATTCTAAGAACATAGAAGCATAGAGAAAGCTACATAGAAGCATAGAGAAAGCTACATAGAAGCATAGAGAAAGCTTACACTATAAGATCAACAACGCCAGCAATGCTTCATATTTAACAAAATATTTTTATGGCTATAGGCCATGAATCTACCTAGAGCAACCGCTAGCTAGTTTAGCCAGCTTCCCAACCATGTTAAAGACTGTACCTCTCTCAACCAGTTTAAGATAAAAACTAAACACTACCTAATAAATTCCCTGTAATCTACCTCACTCCTCTATTGTCAACCCATGTCTGTTATTTTCTTTTTTTTTAATCAACACTGTTTGTCAACCTATTGTATTTGTGCTGCTTTTTCAGTCATGTTCCCCCTTTTTTTATCTTTATTTGTATTTGTTCTCAACACTTTTTATTCTTTATGCTCAATTAGTATTAAGTTCTAGATATTAATGTTTTCTTGCCCGAAACGCATTGCGTAATAGTGGCTTTAGGCATTGTATGTACTAGCTCTATCCATATATCAATCCATTAATGTAACATCACTTGTATGTATATACCTTACCTGAATAAACATCTGAATCTGAATCTGAATAACGTCATTGTCATTGCAGATAACTGTCAATATATCCACCTAACTTTTACTGTTTTGAGTATAAATCATTGTTTTAACATTATAATAGTCTCTAAAATACAGCTTAATTCAGGCGTTTAGGTTCTAGCCGAATTAGATGGATATATATGTTTAAAAGTTAGGACATAAAAAGTAACTAACTGGCCCCTCCTTCACCTGGGGAGAGGGAGGACTCGCCAACCAACAAGTTTCTACTCTACGGCCCATTAACGGCCTCTTCTGATCATCAAGAGATTTTTCTGGGGCCAGATTCACGAAGCAGTTACGCAAGCACTTATGAACCTGTACATCTTTTTTCAATCTTTGGCGGCTTTGTTTCCAATTATTAAACAGTTAATGAGCTCCGAAGCACCAGGAGGCTGTTTATAACAATAACAACAGTTGAATGGGAAGTTTTCATGCTTGTAAACTGTTTAATAAATGTAACCAAAGCCGTCAAAGATTGAGGAAAGATGTACACGTTCGTAAGTGCCTGCGTAACTGCTTCGTGAATCTGGCCCTTGGACGTTTATAGCTGAATAATCTCAGTTCACGCTTCTTTAAAGGAATTGAAATGTATTTAGTGAATAAAACTAATATAAGTTGTGAATGGGTAGTCAATGCTTGCAAACTGTTTGTAGAAAATAATTTCACCTAGCAGCCGGCTACGACACCACATCCCATCACATTTCATTAACAAAATAATTAGTGTTCGGTTCACAGAAGAATCAACTGAGTCTGGCTCAATCACAGACTCGAGCACCAGGAATCTACTATCTACAATTTACAAAGTTAGTTTGTGGTTGTTCGTTTCCAATTAATCTTGATCCATATTGATTAGAATATATGTTACTACTTTTCCTCACAGGAGATCCAATTATCATATGCGTTTTAAACCCAACCAAATGTCCGTATTAATTCTAAATATTAATATTAATTAGTATGATCATATATTTCACATCAATCAAAATATATTAAGAATAAGATTTGGCTCAATCCTCATATATTGATTATATAAATATTATATTATTTGTGTTAAGTTGTAAATAATCATTACCATTAACTTAAGTCAAAATATAAAACCAATGAATCTGTGCTTGGCTACGCTGGATATAAAGTTTTAAAAAAATTTTCTTGGATTTTTCTTTAGATTTTTTCTTATTTTCTTTTTTTTTCTTAAAAAATTTTCTTAGATTTTTCTTTAGATTTTTTCTTTAAATTTTCTTAGATTAAGGACCTGCCTGAAACGCTGCGCGTGCTAGTGGCTTTACAAGACTGTAATTACCATATTTGTATCCTCACATTCCTTATGTACATTCTTGTATATGCATAAATAAATAAATAAATAAATAAATAAATAAATAAATAAAATCAGGTCTCTTATCAGCCACGATAAGAGACTCTCCACAAGTTGAAGCATTGGCAGTTGAGCAATAGTCCCATCAGGAAGCCTAGCCTATAAGCAGTTTGACTCTACCTAGCGTTTGCAGCTAACTACACAATACACATGTTACTAACTATTCCTGTATATTGCAGTTAATCACTAAATTATATATACGTGCTGTAGAGTAGAGTTTTTTTTAAGGCGTAAATCCTCCACGCCGATAGCATCAAGAGAGAACACGATAAGCACCTCCAAATGATACCTGCTCAACTAGGTTGTGATTCATAAGTCAGGTTGCGAGCACCCGCATCCAACAGCCTGGTTGATCAGACCATTCAACCTGGTTGACCAGGCTGGTCCTTATATGGCCTGGTCAGAGACCGGGCCATAAGCACCTTGATCCCTGGAATCAACGCAAGGTAAGGTATGCTAAGATAGAATATAGCATATATTAAGTATTCATAGCCTATAGGTGCATTATAAAAGATAAAAACGAAGCTATACCTAATAAATTCTCTGTAACCTACCTTACCCTTCTATTGTCAACCAATGTCTGTTTTTTTAAAGAGCGCTGTTTTTCGACATAATTGTATTTGTGCTGCTTTTTCAGCTATGTTTTCATATCTTGTTTTCATTCTACTCTTTATGCTCTAGTATTAAGCTTGTCATTTAAGTTTTTCCTGCCCGAAACGCTTTGCGTAATAGTGGCTTTAGGCATTGTATGTACTAGCTCTACCTATAAGTCAACCAATCTTTGTAAAAATTTCTTGTATGTATGTACCTTACCTAAATAAACATTTTATTTTATTTTATTTATTTATTTTATTATAGAAGAAAAGAACACGTGGTCCATATCGGTCTGTTTTCAGACCAGAGTCATGCGGTCTCCTAGAACAGAGATTTTTTTTTGAGATATATAGAAGAGTTGTTACATTCTTGTAGAGCCACTAGTACGCGTAGCGTTTCGGGCAAGTCCTTAATCCTATGGTCCCTGGAATACGATCCCCTGCCGCGAAGAATCGTTTTTTCATCCAAGTACACATTTTACTGTTGCGTTAAACAGAGGCTACAGTTAAGGAATTGCGCCCAGTAAATCCTCCCCGGCCAGGATACGAACCCATGACATAGCGCTCGCGGAACGCCAGGCGAGTGTCTTACCACTACACCACGGAGACTGTTAATTAGAGACTAGATTGAAAGATAAGCAAGCATCATCCATCACATGATGTTACATAGAACAAAAAGGCCTCAGTAATGGTTTCTTATCAAGGCACATAAATACATAAAGTAGCCACATAAACATAATGGTAACAGTTTAAAATAAATAATATGACTAACAATTAACTGGCAGCTCGAATTCACTTGCTAGTCTTAAGTGTATTGTATATCAGAATTGAAAAGGAAAGCGGGCAACTGAGCCTGCCGTCATAAGTCAAGCAGGCGGCAAGTGACGCCACCACAGAGCGACTCCTGGTTCAGCCTTGACGAGCGGACGTCCGTACACCTGCTTACCTGGGAGTCACCAGATCACGTTCTGTTTCACCATTTTGGATAATACCGTTTGGCGTTGCTATTCAACGGTCCGGATTGTTACAACGCCTTGGATCACAGGATAGTTGATAGATTTTAAACGTTTTCTGGCTGGTTCTCATGGCGAGGTGGAGGTACTCCGGCTTGGCCGAGAGGTGCCGGGGGTAGGTGGGTCTTAGTGGGTTCCTGGTGTGCCCTCAGCCGTGGTGGGCTTCTGGTGTGTCCTCAGCCGTGGTGGGCTCCTGGTGTGTGCCCTCAGCCGTGGTGGGCTCCTGGTGTGTGCCCTCAGCCGTGGTGGGCTCCTGGTGTGCCCTCAGACGTGGTGGGCTCCTGGTGTGTGCCCTCAGTCGTGGTGGGCTCCTGGTGTGTGCCTTCAGCC